GGAAAACAGGAAGAAACTTCTCATATGAACACACATTAAGTTGAGCACCTTTTAACAGATTTTTTCTTCTCTGACCAAAACGAGCAGGGTGGCTAAACTGAGAACCTGATTGCCTATTTCTGTCACCACTAGAAACAACAATCTGTTTCTGTCATTGCCTACAAGGAGAGAGTCCCCACTTCTTCTCCTCTCTCTAGCCTGGTGTCTGACTAGCTAGCAGCTTGCAATTGAGAAAGAGGGAAAAAATCTTCCCTCCACAGAAAGAGTGAAAATTTTGGAGCTGTTGACTTCACAGGAGACAAAAAGAGAGGAACCAGGGCAGGCCCATATAAATAATGAGTGGTACAAAAAGGATAGGTTGGGAGTGTCAATTGGATTTTTTTTAAACAACACAAGAAAAAGACAAGTTCAAAATTAAACAGCTGAGTTGAGACTGATAATTCCCCAGAACAAAAGGCTTTCTCAACACTGAAAGGTTAAGAATTATGAGTTGAAAGAGGACTAAACTCTTACCTACAGATAAATATCTACATTTGTAGATATTGCGTACAGCTACATATTTCTCTATATATCTGTATATCCAGATTATCTGTGTAAGTTTTTGAAGAGTTACCGAACCCCATGCTCATATTCTCTCCAGCTAGCAGGTGAAATAGGTTTTCCCATACACCTTCCCTATATGCCTGCTGCCATTTATTTCCTAGCTCCATCAGGACCTGCTGTAGAACAAGACTTGCTTTACATACCTGAAACTCATCATCAAGAAAAGGAAAGGTTTTCCCCCTACCACTTGAAACAAACTAACAACTAGTCTTCCATTGAGGACGGCTCTTAACAGCTTGCAATCAGTATTTTTCCCATCTGTGGATACTAGAAATATGCTGAGCTACAAGTCTGATTTGACCGAAGTACTGAATATGCCAATAATTGCAGGGAAAGCCTGAACATCACTTAAAAAGATAAAAAGAATAAGCTTAAAAGCAACTTCAGACTCGAGGTTCCCAACTTCACTGTAATCAGCCTTCCTGTAATATTCAGAGAAACCCTTAGCAACAGGCATTTCAGCACGGTAAATACATATTAACTGGTGCACCCTCCTTTCCAGGACACCGTTGTCGGTGCTGCAGTGGGAAGTCATGTCAGCTGAAGGAAAGGAAATGCAGTTTGATACTAATGAAGTTGGTCAAGCTGTCCTCTCATGAAGCCTTCAAGTTCAATCCCAAAGAATTTACAACTTGCATGCCAAAGGGTTTGGCATTCATGGATAGCATAGCGGGAGGAGTTGAACCAGCGCGGTACAAAAAAGCCCTCTGGTCGGGTGATCGCACTAGTTCAGAGATTACTGGGC